GATGGCTGGGGCGGACGTGGTCGTGGCTGGAACGATGGCTGGGGTAAGGGCTGGGGTGATGGCTGGGGCGGCTGGGGCAATGGTTGGGGTAATGGCTGGGGCAACGGCTGGGGTGGTGGATGGGGTGGCCGAGGCCACGGCCGTGGTCGAGGTGGATACAACCACCGCTGGAACGTCGACGAGTCTTCGATCGGAGAGGGCAAGGGCCTCGCTGATGCCAAGGCTGAGTAGGCGAACGCGCACTGGTCATTGAGTGCGCCCGAACTGCAACCGTCGGCCTCTGAAGGCAGCATCGCTCGATGTATGCCTGTCTTCGTCTTTCAGCTCGGCTTCGAGTATGGCGACAAGTCTGGCCCGAAGCTCGATGCTATCGTTCCGTTTTCTTTGTTCCGCGCATCCGTTTTACCTTTTTTTTACTCCTTTTTTGTTCATCGCTCCCTCTCTGTCCAGCCTCAGCATCATGCGACGTTGTCGAGAGCTCGGAGTTGGCATCTCGCCAAGTGTAGCTCCGCACTGTCAGGCAGCAGTGCTGCCCGATCTTGTGTAACTCCTCTCCAATCCACAATTTCGTTTCTTCACACCTCGGTCTGTGATACAATGTGTGGCTGTGTAGCTTGCGGCAGCCCAAATAGGAGACAGAAGCTGTTCTCGGAGGGTCTTGCCATGCCGATGTTCCTAGTGTTGGGGCCTCGGATGAAGGAAGAGGTGTGTTCAAGCCCTTCACCTCGGCGTATGTTTGGCGTGCAAATTGGACAGGGGCAGCATCGATACGCGTCGTTGCGGCGAATGGTGGCGGGTTTTTACGCACTGACGGGGCGCTTGCTCACGCCACTTGCAGTTGATCTTGACCGCATGAAAACAGATGCAGTTAAGCCGCTGAAGCGTGTCGATCCGATGGCATGTGTGAGATGAAGAGATTGCGTCCGTGCGGAGGGGCGGGATGACGAGCGCGGATCCGTGCGGTGCCTGAAAAAAGGTGGCGGTTTCATTTGCCGTCGAGCCGCGTCCGGTCTTGGAACTCAAAGCAGAGGCGACCTGCAAGGTGTTGCGCTCATGGAGGTTACGGGATCAAGGCGAAGTGCAGAAAATGAAAGCTCCTGGGGCCAGGGCAAGGCTGGAGCGATCTCGGTTCGTGTCTCATACGAAAAGTTTGCTGTGCTGCGAGGAGGGGTGCGAGATCAAGTCGAGGTTGAGCCTCGATGTGAGATGAGATCGTTCGGCACTCAACGGCAGAACGGAGTGCTCTCCGGATCGCCCCATGGGGAAAGCGACGTAGAGCGACTCGTCTCGGAGAAGCGATGCCTCGACTCCTTGGTAGCAATGGGCTCCGCGACTGAAGGTATAAGAGCTAGCCCGTCCGAGCCGTCGATCAGGATCATCATACATACTCTCTCACTTTCTATCTCTCATCCATTACACAGCAAGCTCTCACACTCTTCCCTCTAATCATCAGTTCTGGATCACGATGGCGCGTATTTCTGCCGCGTTGTTTGCGGGCGTCATGCTGGCCATGAGCGGTATGCTTGTGGCCAGCCCTGCTGCCGCTTCGCCCGTCAAAGCGTCCGGTGCTTCCGTCGAAGCCGCATCGCTTGCTAAGCGCGACCACGACGCTGGTCAAGCCCAGCAGGAGGCGGCTGAGCTTCAGCGCCGAACCTTCCTTCCGATCCTGCCCTTCGGAGGTGGTGCCGGAGCTGGAGTTGGAGTCGGAGTACAGGCTAACGCCGATGCTGACCTTGGCGTCGGCGGCCCTGGATTCTATAAGCACGATCACGTCGGTGTCGGCATCGGTGGTAACGCCGGCGTCGGCGTCGGAGGCGGTGGATACCCCGCCTACCCCTTCCCGGGATACGGACACCACCCTGGCTACGGCTATCCCCCCTATGGCTACCCCCCTTATGGCTACCCGCCCTACCAGCCTCAGCATGGCGCGGCTCCTCCTCCTCCTGGCGGTAACGGAGGTCAGCACGGTCCTGGTGGTCCTGGTGGTCCCGGTGGTCCTGGT